AAACATACGAATGTGAACGTTCACATCACTACATATTGTGGATAAGAATGTGTTATCAATTAAAAATATAATGAATGTTATTTTTAATTTGTTGTCAATTGAAAATAAGAAGATTCACATGTTGTAAACATTCACATCACTACATTATTAGATGAGAGAGAATTTTTCGAAAAGGTGTTGTGAACGTTCATATCAGATGAGAGAGAATGTTCACATTATTTTTAATGTGTTATCAATTAAAAATATATTCACATTATATAATAATATAAAATAATAACATCAATGTTATATAATTTGTGTATGAAATTTTCTATGCTTTGGTCCTTTTCCTTGTCTCTCCTCCCTAATATTAAATATCAAAATTAAATATAAAGACATAAGAGTCTAAAAAAATAGTGTGAATCAAGAAAAAAGACTTTATGGAATAAAAGTATAAATATATGGGACTAAGTGAGTTAAAAAATTCATTCCTGAACTTTTTGGGTTAGAACACTTCTAAATAAGATTTATCAATAAAAATCCCTATAAACAAGTTACAAACATTTTATAACTCTAAAGACATTATACTAAAAATTAATAAGCAAGAGTTATGTATATATTTGTTACAAAACAATAACCATATAATACACATGTGAATATTTCTAGCAATTAACATGGAAACAAGATCATACACATAACTTTAGAAACAATAAGCATGTAACAAAATTAAAATCTAGAAAATTTTGAACATGCAAATTATGTTATGAAATTATAAAATAAAGAAGCATTCAAATCATGGTAGGAAATAAAAACCATACTCATGAAATTATATTACAACAATCAATATGCAAATATTAATAGAGATCTAAAAATAAAATATTCTAATTAAAATAACATTGCAAATATTTACATATGAGACAAAGGTATCTAATAAAAATCGAAACAGTGGACTATAGGTGATTTGATTTCAAGTTGAGAAAGCAAACATCAACATGTATATGATATTCAAGTTTTATGACACACCCACAAAATAAAATATAGCAACAACATATTTATATTCATGTATATGATATTCAAGTTTTATGATACACCCACAAAATAACATATAGCAACATGTGGGGATATATTTTCTGAATACCAACACGTGGCATGGTGACGCCGACGTGTCAGCCGAGGTGCCACGTGTCCTGGTCGTGACGCCGAGATGATCTCGGCAAGGCCGAGGTTAACTCCGAAGATATCGGAGTCCGAGATAAACGAATAATGGACGAAAGTCCTAAGACGAAGAGGGGACTTAACCAAGATAAGGATAAAGCTCTTAGGGAGTTTATCTTTATCTCTAAAAGAGTCCAAAGTAAACACTAAATTGGAGTTCATAGAAGTCATACTTCTAGTAGGACTTGGATTGAGTATATTACAAAAGAGAGGCACCCCCATGGGTCTAAGGTATGCAATTTATGTTTTGAGTATTAAGTTTTGCACTTGATTATCTTTGAGAGATATACTGACTTGATCGTCGGAGTGCCCCCGGGTGGAAGAACCACCGCCGGAGCCTTTTCTTTCTGTTACAGGTTACTGAAGCCATCTATTCTGCCTGTGCTCTCCAGCTGGTTACTAAGCAGGCAGTGTGGTCAGATTTTCACCCACACACAACATCATATTTATATTCATATATATATATATATATATTGATGACTATTGCTCTCCTAACATGAAATAGTGGTTATTACAGTGGCTATTGTAAAATATATAATCCTCCTAATCATGAATTGAATGCAATGAAACAGGTGTTTAATAAAATAACAATGGGCTATTCAACGCAGTGCCGATTAGAAATAATAGTTTATTCACAAGCACGCAAATATGTAACCATTCTGAATGTGGGGACATATTTTTGGGTAGTCTACGTGGGTGGACCATGATGTCGAGATATGGTGCAATAATACTAGAATCTGAGATATTTGGATAGAGGACTAGAGTCCTAGATGATATCAAATTATCTATTTGGATAGAGAAGTAGAGTCCTAGATTGGGAGATGATTTCAGTTTGGATAAAGATAAGACTCTTAGAGAGTTTATCCCAATCAGTAATCCAAAGTCCATTGAAGCAAGGCTTCTATTGGGACTAGGTTTGTGTTGGCTATAAAAGGGAGGTACCCTCATGGGTCTAAGGTATGCCTTTTACGCTCTGTCTAGTGAGTTAAGCACTATTAGTTATCTTTGAGAGATATTTTACTGACTTGATCGTTGGAGTGCCCCCGGGTGGACGAACCACCGCGGGATTTTTATCTTTCTGTGACAGGTTGTTTGGGTCCACCACGAGATTCTTATCTTTCTGTGACAGGTTGTTTGGGCTTAATCTATTCTGTCAGTGCTCTCCAGCTGAGTTTCTCCTTTTGGTTGTGTGGTCAGAAATCAACACCCACACTGAACAATTCATCTCTTTTAGAAACTCTAACAAGCATATATATAGAATTCAATTCTAAAAGCATAAGCATTATAATATATATATATATAAATATATATATATATATATATATAAATCCATTGGAATTCTCGTCAATAATTGGTGAAACAGAGGGCTCTTGGGAAACAGTTACGGTTTGTGAACACCAAATAGGTTCTGTATGTTTTTCCTTCAAAATGAATACTAGCAGTAGCAAGAAACTGATATGCAATTCTATGAATCTGACTAATGGAAGTAGACCACAAAGATTATGATGAGATGAATTAATCTATTATAAATCTAAATCTATTTATCTAACTTTATGATAAACACTGAAGGGGCTAAATGTGAAATGGGTCGGATCCAAGCCTTGGGCTGGCCCAATCCACTGAAGTCCAAATCCAAGTGGGTTAGATGAGTATATGGGCAAACCAATTGAGCCCAACTTCATGATCAACAGTCCACCCAAGTCCTCAAGCACTTGGGCCCAACCCGTAGTGGAAAGGCTAGTCCAGCCGTAGTGCTAGGCTGGGCCGAGCTGCGAGACTGAACCTATGGGCTGAACAGAAGACAGGCTGAGCCCATACAAAGATATCTAAATGGATCAGCACATCTCAATGAATGATCCTGCGAAAGGCCGAGACAAGGCATAATGGTGCCGAGCTGAGGCACAGCGGTACCGAGCTGAGGAAACCTCGCAAGGGAACGTGGAAGTTGTGAATGTGTGCATGTGCAAGTCGCCACCTCAGCTGGTCCCCTACACCTAGAATCACAGAAGTTGTTGAATCAAAGGAATGTGGTTTGTTATTAGCATGATTACAATGAGTATATGCATTCAATGATAACTACCAGGTGGTCCCCCATCTTGAGCAATGCTAAAAGGACACCTGGCAGCATCCAAACTCCATGAACCCACCTTGAGAAGCAAGCAAGGAACACTATATATACAACATGAACTTCACATTGAAGGTAATTGAACTATTCCAAGCAAACTCACACATAGAGATAGATTCAACTCTATATGCACTTCTTCTCCGATCACTAATTCCGACACCGGAGAGGTTATCCGGCCAACCCCGACCGAGCTGCTCTAACGGTGCTTCTTGTAGTAAGAACCCCAGTCCCTGGACAGTCCAATCGAGTGCGGGGCCCCAATCCACTTTCATCTAGTGCGGAATCCGGTACGCACAATTGGTGCAGTGAACATGAATCACTTCATCTCTGAACTCTGCACTCAATTCCGACGATGGGGATTAAGGACATTCCGCCTTCGACACATACTCCACGAACGGAGAAAATGAAGGACAAAGGTTTGGCACTCCCAACAGTCCTGGAGGAACAAACTGGAAACAATAATCGAACCCCTGAATCCGTCGAGCATTGATTACCCTTCGCTGGAGGTTCTTCTCATCACTTTCTTTTGGAAATGGATTATAGAGATCAAATCATAGACTCCATGGGGATGGAGATACAGGAGTTGAAAGCCCAACTTAAGAGGGTGCTGGGCGATCCGACGGAAAAGAAGACGGAAGCGGAGCCCTCTCGTTTGCGACGGAGGAGCTCATCCAGAGAGCCACCAGTGAAGAAGTTCCCTAGGAATGAGTCTGGGAAACAAAGCCAGCCTATCCCAGTACAGAGTGAGGCAGTAAGTAGTCACACTTGTGGGTCACACCGGAGAAGGGCCAAGAGGCTGAAGACAGTTAGCCAACAGACTGACTACCCTCCTCAGGACCTTCGTACTTGGTTGATTGGCAATAGACAGAACGAACAACATCGGGATCATCTGGACTGTATTGTTCACCAGAGAGAACACAGAGCGCTGGACAGGCTCGTCTCTTCACCATTCTCCCTAAAGATTGAGACCATGAGACCTCCAAAGAAATTCACCCCACCAAAGTTCACTTCATACGACAAGAAGTCGGACCCGCTGACACATATTAGCCATTATAGACAGATGATGTCCCTATGGAGCCGAGATGAGGCATTGATGTATAAAGTCTTCCCATCCAGCTTGGGAGAAACTGGACTTCGATGGTTCGATCGTCTCCCTGCTGGATCGATCCATGGCTGGAAGCAGCTCTGCGAAGAGTTCCTAGCCAGGTTTGTCTTCAACACTAAGATCCCGAAGAAGATGGATACACTGTTCGGCCTCCGAAAGGAGCAGGAGGAAACACTGCGCAATTATGCTAGGAGGTACTGGGAAGAGTACAATGACCTGGAGGAAAATGTGTGCAGCGAACAAATGGCCGTTGTGTCCTTCAAACATAGTCTGGGCCCAGAAAGTAAGCTGAGACAATCACTTACCAAGCGCCCGGTCACAGCTTTGAAAGATTTGCGTGCCAAAATTGAGCAGTACGCTCGCCTCGAGGATGATCAGATCCCCATCGAGGAAGTGTCAGCAGAACAAACAGCTCGACACAAGAAGAGAACAGATCGAGGAGAACACCGAGGGATTGCAGTGAATGAAGTGGATAAGTCCAAATCCCACGAAGCCGTTGTGACTGTATTCAAAGAGCCAATCTATCAAATCCTGGAAAAGATCAAGAGAGAGGTCTCCTTTGTTTAGCCACCGAAAATGTTGGGAGATCCAGCTCTGCGCAATCAGAAGCTCAGATGCACCTACCACCAAGACATGGGGCACATGACTCAGAACTGCAGGGCACTGAAGCAACACTTGGAAGACCTAGTGGCAGCCGAGCACCTAAGGGCTTACATTGATCAGGATAAGGAAGTGGCCGAATTGGGAAACCCACCGCCAGAACCAAATATTGAGCATCCACCTCGGCTGATAATAAATATGATCCATGGGACAGCGACTCAGGAATCTGAGGAGACACTGAAGGAAGAGATCACTAAGGCTACGCAAATTCAGCGGGTCATGTCAGTGGAGCCTACATCGAAAAAGGTACGCGCAGTACCTAAATCCCCCTTGTGCACTGTTTCGTTTACTAGCAAAGATTTAGAAGGCATACAGCACCCACATACTGATGCATTAATTATAACTGTGGGAATCGGGAAACGATTTGATGTAAAATGAGTCTTGGTAGATCATGGTAGTGCAGCAGATATATTGTATTATGATTTGTTCAGAAAGCTTGGTCTCTCCGAGCAGCACCTCACCCCAGCAGCAGCCCCGTTGGTCGGTTTCAATTCACAACCAGAATGGCCGCTTGGCAGAATAGTGTTGCCAGTCGTGGCGGGAACAAAAACCCTCTAGATAGAGTTCTTGGTTATTAATATACCATCCCCTTACAACGCCATACTTGGTCGTCCATGGATTCATCAAATGGAGGCAGTCCCTTCGACCTACCACCAGCTCATCTGTTTCCCAACGAAACACGGAGTAGAGCAGATCTCAGGGGATCAAGTTGCGTCCAAACATTGCTTCATGGCAGCATTAAAGGCAAAACAGCTCTGCAATCGGGTACAGACGGTAGAAGTGGCCGAACAACTAGTCTTGGAAGATGTAGGGGGAGCTCTAGAGGAAAAAATAGTAGAGGATTTGGAGAAAGTCCTGGTAAAAGAGGATGACCCAGAAAAGTACTTCCTTATCGATACCTCGCTAGGCGCTGATGAGAAACTTCAGCTGCTGGAACTGTTGAGGGAAAATATGGAGGTATTCGCATGGTCAGCATATGATACTCCAGGGTTGGACCCAGAATTTGCTTGTCACAAGCTCAACATCAACCCTTCAGCTTGGCCCATTGTGCAAAAAAGTCGGAGATCCCCAGTCGAGCACACCGAAGTAGTAATTGCCGAAGTCGAAAAACTCCTGACTTCAGGAGCAATTAGAGAAGTTCAGTACCCGCAATGGCTGTCCAACACAGTTATAGTCAAAAAGAAGAACGGAAAATGAAGAGTTTGCATTGACTTCACTTACTTGAACAAAGCCTGCCCTAAAGATAGCTTTTCTCTGCCTCGCATTAATCAACTAGTAGACTCAACAGCAGGGCATGAGTGCATGAGCTTTCTGGACGCTTATAGCGGTTATCATCAAATACCACTGTTCGGTCCAGATCAAGAAAAGACAGCATTTATCACTCCGAGAGGAACTTACTGCTACAGAGTGATGTCGTTCGGCCTCAAGAACGCCGGGGCAACCTACCAGCGGATGATCACTCGGATGTTCAAGGACCAACTGGAAAAAACCATGGAAGCTTATATAGATGATATGGTAGTCAAGAGCAAGTTTGCTACAAACCATCTTACAAACTTAAGAGAAGTTTTCGGCATCTTAAAAAACCATCAACTTCGCCTCAATGCCTCGAAATGCGCTTTCGAGGTAGGAACAGGGAAGTTCTTGGGATACATGGTCACTCACAGAGGAATTGAAGCGAATCCAAATCAAATCAGAGCAATACAGGATCTTGAAGTACCAATAAAGGCTAAAGAGCTGCAGAAACTAGCCGGAATGGCGGCCACACTGAATCGGTTTATTAACAAATCCTCAGATCGGATGAAGCCCTTCTTCCAGCTTTTGAGGAAAAATGCAGCATTTGAATAGAGTAGTGAATGTACCGAAGCACTGCAAAGTCTCAAAAGATACCTCAGTACATCTCCCCTTCTGTCCACTCCAGAGCCAGGAGAGGAGCTGTACCTCTATCTAGCAGTCTCAGTTCATGCCGTAAGCGCAGTATTAATTTGAGAAGTTGACAAGAAACAGAGGCATGTATACTACGTTACCAAACTTTACTAGATACTGAGACACGGTATCTACCATTGGAAAAGTTAGCTTACGCGCTGCTTATCGCCTCAAAGAAGTTACAACATTACTTCCAGGGGCATACCATTAATGTCCTCACTGAATTCCCCCTCAGATCTGTATTTAGCCGAGCCGATTTCTCTGGCAGAATAACAAAATGGGCAGTAGAACTTGGCGAGTTTGACATTCGGTATCAACCCAAGACAGTAATTAAGGCCCAGGTCTTAGCAAATTTCGTTGCAGAATTTGCTCCCATCCAGAGTACCGAACCAGGGAACCCAAGTTCGACATAGGTGCCACGCATCACCAAACAAGGAAAGCCCTGCACTTCGGAAGCCTGGAAACTCTTCATCGGAAACATCTGGCAGCTCTATGTTGACGGGTCGTCCAACAACCAAGGTTCGGGGGCAGGAGTATTACTTATCTCACTAGAAGGATTTATCTGGAAACAGGCTCTCAAGCTCGGTTGGAAGGCTTCGAACAACGAGGCAGAGTACGAAGCGTTGTTGGCTGGCTTACGCAGTGCCGAACACTTCAATGCAGAATAACTTCTTGTTCTCAGCAATTCAAAGCTAGTGGTAAACCAGCTTTCTGGGTCTACGAAACACGGGATGAAAGAATGGCCATGTACACAAGCAAGGCCAAAGACTTACTTAAAAAGTTTCAATCCATACGAGTGGAACGAATTAGTCGGGACAAAAACGGCCATGCTGATGCTTTAGCTTGTCTCGGCTCATCAGTGGATACCAAAGATGCCAGAAAAGTTTGGGTTGAGTTCGTGCCAAAGCCAAGTATTGCATCTCCAGTCCTCTGCAGCAGCGTAGAGCCGAGCTGGATGGATCCAATACTTGCTTTTCTAAAATCTGGTACTCTCTCTGAAGACAAAAAGGAAGCCAACGAAGTCAGACACAAGTCTACTCGGTTTTGGATCTCACCATCCGGGAAGCTGTATAGACGCTCCTATATTGGCCCTTATCTTCTATGTGTGCATCCAAATCTGGTCGAGAATGTTCTCTACAAAATTCACGATGGGATTTGTGGATGCCACGTTGGCGGAAGGTCGCTGGCGCACCGAGCCCTCACTCACAGGTATTGGTGGCCACAGATGCAACAAGATGCTCAGCAGTACGTACAAAAGTGTGATAAATGTCAGAGGTTTGCTCCACTCATTCATCAGCCAACCAAAACTCTCTCTCCACTCACCAGCCCTTGGCCCTTTGCGCAATGGGTCTGGATATTGTCGAACCATTGGCGCGAGGCACTGGGAACAGGCGATTCTTTATTGCTGTAATCGACTATTTCACTAAGTGGGTTGAAGTTGAGGCGCTTGCAAGTATCAAAGAGGCGGACACGAAGTGGTTTGTTTTGAGGAATGTGGTGGTGCGTTTTGGCATTCCGCGGGTACTGATTGCGGATAATGGAATACCGTTCGATGGTAAGGTCTTCAGAAAGTTTTGTGCCGACCTCAGAATCGAGTATAGGAACTCTTCTCCAGGGTACCCGCAAAGCAATGGACAGGCAGAAGCCTCAAACAAAACCATCATCAATGGAGTAAAGAAACGGCTTAGGTATGCCACGTGCTATGGGCATGCCCACGTGCTATGGGCATACCGAACCATAGCACGGCGAGTTACCTACGTGCTATGGGCATGTGCTATGGGCATGCCCACGTGCTATGGGCATGTGCTATGGGCATGCCTACGTGCCCCAGAGTAATGGGTTGAAGTGTTACCCCACGTGCTATGGGCATACCGAACCATAGCACGGCGATCAACGGGGGAAACACCTTACTCACTAACTTACGGAATAGAGGCCGTCATCCCACTCGAAGTCGGCCTCCCAACCCTTCGGTCTGAATTGTTTGAGAGCACCAGTAACGAGGAAGCTATTGCACAAGCACTAGATATGGCAGAGGGCCGAAGAGAAACAGCACTGATCAGACTTGTAGCGTATCAGCAGCAACTCATCAAGAGTTTCAACCAAAAAATTTTCCCAAGGCAATTTACACCAGGAGAACTGGTCTTGAGAAAAGTTATGGATCACAAAAAGGTGCCTAGCGAAGGCAAACTTGGGCCTAACTGGGTGGTCCCTACAAAGTCACAGTTGTCGTTGGAAATGGAGCCTACTACCTAGAGGATCTTAATGGCAAAGCTATACCTCGGCCCTGGAACGTAGCAAATCTCAAGAAATACTATTAATAGAATTGTCCCCCACCTTCTCTATCAGAATGTAAAGGCATTTATCTGTTGACCAATGCAAATGCTTCCCCACTTCTCTCAAATTCATCAAATTCTTGTAATTAGCTTTGATGTTTATCAAATGGAATTAGCTTTGGTTCTTACCAAACAGAAATAGCTTTGATGTTTATCAAACAGAATTAGCTTTGGTTCTTACCAAACGGAATTAGCTTTGGTTCTTACCAAACGGAATTAGCTTTGATGTTTATCAAACGGAATTAGCTTTTGTTCTTACCAAACGGAATTAGCTTTGATGTTTATCAAACGGAATTAGTTTTGATGTTTATCAAACGGAATTAGCTTTGGTCCTCACCAAATGGAATTAGCTTTGATGTTTATAAAACGGAATTAACTTTGGTCTTAACCCAAATGGACTTAGTTCTAGAACGACTGGACGGAATTTAAATTTGGTTAGCACTCAAACATGCTAAGTGGAATTGCTTGGTGGAATAATGTTTGGCAACTAAATTGGACTTTAGCCAAGTGGAATTGCTTGGTGGAAACCACACTAACATATCTTAAGTAAACGTCTTTGAATCCACAGAATTCCTCAAGTACCAACACGTCAACACTTTAATACTGATTCAAACAAACAGAGTTGGAACAAGCATGCCCAGGTTCTATCAGGAGTAAACTTCCAGCATTAGTCTTACTCAACTCCAGGTGGGGGCAAACAATTGTTTTTCAAAACCAACCTGGACTTGAGTAAGACACCTATTCATGCCTTTATTGCATTCAAATGCAGCTATGCTATCTAAGTTGAAACAGACTCAAGCAGTTCTACACAAGGGCACAATCTTCAGTACCGATCTTATTTAGCTCCAGGTGGGGGCAAACAATTATTTTCTTTTAAAACCAACCTAGACCTAAGTAAGACCCACTTACGAACTCAAGCACAACCACACCACATATCCGTCAGCCACACCGAGCATCAGTTCGGCCCCGAGGTCCCAACAGTGCTCGGCCCAAGGCAAACAATACAATTCCACACCGAGCATCAGTTTGGCCCCGAGGCCCCAACAATGCTCGGCCGGGGGCAAGCAGTACAGAATCAGACAGAACATCCATTTAAAAGCAGTACAGAACTAGACCGAGCAT